TTTTGTTATTCGCTCACTCCTTTTATTAGGATTTCCCCCTCCTGAAATAAGTTAGCATATAGGGTTCATAAATCGAATTGGGATAAGGACTGGTCACTACAACCAAGTAAAGGGTTACCTCTGTGATCATTGGAAAGTTCAGAGGGGCCAGGTTGAGGGTGTCAGGGCAGAAGAGAACAGATCTAGAAGGCAGGGCCACCGTGTCGCCACCCACCTGAGACCTGTTGTGGGAATGATAGCAACTGAGAAGGGAATATGAGAATGCCACCAATTTATCAGCAAAGGACAAAGAGTTTGAAAGCAAGAAGCCAGTGAGTATTTGCAGAGGCATGAGCCACATCGGGTAGGTCCTCTGTGAAGCAGATAGTCGATGGTTGAAGAAAGAGCTCACCTAAGTATGTCTGAATGTCTTAGAAGGATTCCAGGCAAGATAAAGCTCAGGCATCATTCCAATGCACGAAGTTGCAGGACAGGTTTTTAGCAAAAGAGCCCAACTTGTTTGACTTCAATCCTTTTTATTGATACCCTTCTGCCTTTCACCTCAGAAACCAAGGCCCACCTACATGGAACCATCTTCTTGAAGTCTTCCATTGACACCCAGTGTATCTGCCCTGGACCTCCCCCCCACCCCCCAGAGTTCTATGCAAGTCTATCTTCAAGGGCAATGACCTACACAAGCATTTAGGCCATCTTTTCAACTCTCTACCTTACCTGCTCTCACATTTCCACCAAACCTTATCTCATCTACTAGTTCTCAGGAAAGTAACTTGATTACTCTTGACTCCTTTTCAGCACAGAGAACAAGGTCCTTGCTGACCGCACAAGGATTGTTGCTGTGGGCCATGATTTAATTCCAAGTCATAGTAACCCTACAGGACAGCGTAGAACAGCCCCAAAGGGTTTGCAAAGCTATCTAAACCTTGATGGAAGGCTCTGGCACATCTTGCTCCCACAGAACAACTGATGTGTTTAAATTGCCCACCTTTTCATGAACAAAGCTTCATTCGTTAGCTTAACTGTGGTGCGATTCAGTCTTTTATCAAAAGGTTTCCAAAACATCAATAGATAAATAACCAAACTCACCACTCTGGAGTCAACTCCGACTCCCAGTGACCCCAGAGGACAGGCTAGAACTGCCCGCGTGGGTTTCTGAGAGGAGAGTTGGAAAACCTCATCTTTCTCTCGTGCAGCTGCCTGTTGATTTCAAACCACTGACCCAGTCCGTCACTGAGTTTTGTGAGAACAGGTTTTGTGACAACAGGTGGAGGGATGCTTTTAAATTTTGTGAGAATGACTGGAATACTGTGGTGCATTGAGAAGCAGGCCAACCATGCGGGATACTCCCTGGTTTTGCTGCAAAACGTTCCTGTCATGCGGCTGGCCCACTGGCAGGCGGCTCATTGGTAAACATTTCCCCTGGAATCCATACAGAATGGAAGCCTAAGAGCACATCCTACTAGTGGAAGCTGGCTCAGAAAGCAGAACTGTCCCCTCGTCTCCTGCTCACGGGGGCTCCCACGTGAGAACAACTGTCCGATAGAATTTTCCATGGTTGGTTTTTCAGAACGAGCTTGTCAGGTCACATTAATGCAGCATGTTAAAAGTGAATGAAAGGAGAACACCTCGTTGTTTTGCCTAGCCATCTCAAAGCTAAGATTTCTGTTCCCTGTTGTCTGCTCAGTGCATAAGCAGAAGAATGGGTAACACTCACTGCCATCGGTTGGATTCCAACTCATGGCCAGCCGAGAGGACAGGGTAGAACCGCTCCTGTGGGTTTCCAACACGGTCACCCTTTACAGAAGTGGAAAGCTTCCTCATTCTCCAGAGGAGTGGCTGGCGGTTTCAAACTGCTGACCTTGTGGTTACCAGCCCACTGAGTCCCTGCTAAGCCACAAGGGCTCCCTCAAATGTGAGACTGAGTGTAATTGATCTGGTTCCCATTTCTCCCTTACTTTAAAGTGGATTGGCGTTTAGGAAATGCACCCTTGATAGAAACGTTGATAAAGCAAAGAAGAGATCAATCGTGTTGGAACTCCAATAGAACTGCCTGTTTCTGAGATTTCTGTAAGTTGAAATTCCAAACCAAACCAAGAGTGTTTTCCTCTGAGTAGAACTGTCCCAGTGGGCTTCCAAGGATGTACTTCTTTACAGAAGCAACCTGCCATATCTTTTTCTCCCCGGTGGTGGCTGGTGGATTTGAACCGCCAACCTTTCAGTTAGCAGTCTAGGGCTGAACCACTGAGCCATCGGAGCACTGAAATGGAAATGAAGAACCACCATAATGAACCCTAACAAAGGACATGTGGCTTGGGGGTGGAATTCTCACAGCTGCCACTTGCCTCCTGACCTGATTACATTGTTCAGAAATAAATTGTCCACACATATCCAAATGTCTTCACTGGTGGCCTGTATTAATTGGAAATCCATTTACTGATTAGCAGACTTTTGGAGAGGCTGTAAAAGTGACTTGTTTATGACAATTGCTGGCACCACTGGCATTCTAAGCGATGCCAAGGAATGCCATGTCAAATAAACATTTTTTTTTCTCTCCTCCCTGTTTGGCAGCAAAAAAAAGAAAAACAACAACAACCAAAAAAGCAGACTCACACAGTAGCTGTTGATTTATGAACTGTGTTTTCTGACTCACAGACTCCCACAAAGTGTGCTGTTCCCTTGAAGAAACTGGGTTGGCACCGACCAACCAGAGCACAACCCCATCTCCAAACAAGGGTTTCGACTTGAAATCACCTGGGCCTGGGATTCTTCGTTGTCATGTTGTCCTGCCTCCTATGACCAGGACAGGGAGTGGAGACTGCATGCTACATCCCTCGCAGTTTCCTCTGTTTGTAAAGTGTCATTCGGTGACAGGTCAGGTCAGAACCCACAATAGAGGGTGGGACTGTGGACCAGATCTGTTCAAATAAACCTTGTACATTCAATCATCTAGCAAGCATTTTGGTAGCCCTGGGTCCCACCCTGAAATGGCACTATTTCAGGGCAAAAGTGGCCACTAAGAAGCTGCAGCCACTCTTCACAGGTGGGGAGCGTGATGTGCGTGGGGCGGGGGGCTGGGGAGGGGCGGATGGGAAAGAGTGGGTTTTGTTCAGGTAGATATTCACTATCTGCCCCACAGGGTTTTTTGTTTTGTTTTGTTTTTTGTTTTTGCACAAGAAGAGATTTCCCATCTGTAATCAGAGTCTGTCCTCACAAGTGGCCCAGCAAACAAAGTACGCATTGTAAAGTGGGCCTGGTCCCTGGAGAAGGGAGAAAAATGATTCCTTCTCAACAGGAGAAAAGTTAACCCTTCCTATCCCTTGGCAGTTGGGACTTGCTTCTCTGGTTGGCTCCAAGGCGGAGGAACAGGGTAATCTCTGTATCAGGAATGACATTGACTCATACCGCCTCTCCTCTGCCACCGTTTTAAAAGAGACTCCCCATTCCCCAGTACTTCTGTCTACATCTAGCACAGGCGGAGAGCACTGAAAACCTCTTCTCACCCTTATGAAGCCATTAGAAGTGGACTGCAGGCTCTTCTTCTTTTGCAAAGAAGGAACGCCAGGACATTTGCCATTGCATTTTTAAGACTTATTTTCAGACGGCGGCAGCTGGGCAATGGGTTGCCCTGTACGGTGGATGCTGGCACTGCTGTGAACTCTGCTGGACCTGGATCCTGGAAGGATGGCCTCCGGAGGGGGAAGCAGACCTTTGGCCGGGATGGCTTTGAGAGAGCAGCCCACGACCATCCCAGAGCTGTAGAGAAGGATCCCTTTATAACATGCTCCCTTGAAGAGGGAAACGTGATTAGCAGCTTTGGCAAATGTTCTCCTCCTTTTCCGAGGGAAAGGGAAGAGTTGCTGGTGTCAAAAGGGATGGAGGGGGAGAGAGGATGGAGGTAACTGAATAGAGACAGGGGCAATTTTACACCTCGCTGAAAGCTGGCCCAGGACTGGTTTAGATTCTTCTGGGCTTCAGAAAGGTGTTTTGCTTTGTCTTGTTTGTCATCTTTCAATCTGTTTAAAGACTGAAGTTGGAGCTAGGGGAAAAGGCATTTCATCCGAAGGCAGGTGTCCGGTCAGTTCGCTGCACTCAGTTCATTCCATTCTGTCCCGGGAAGAAGTACACGAGGAAGAAAAGGCTCGGTGGAGTTGAGAAGACCTAACAGATCCGGAAGGTGTGGTACTGATGATGAGGATGGCAACCAGAAGGAGGTGACTTTAGGACATAAGGCTGGAGTGCACGGATGGTGTTCTCCTAAGGAAAGGCACTTCCTTGAAACCGCTAGAAACCTTGCCAGACCGCTAGCCAAATGCCTGTATTCTAGTCTGTGGATTACTTTGTTCCCTATGGGTCTTTATGCGAGAGATTAATGGGGATTGTCTTTATGTCAGGTCAGCAAAGGTAGCTCGTGCTTCAATTGGGATAGATTGTAGTGTTTCCTCCAACCTTACGCATATATACAAACCTGCTCTTCTCTAATTGTACCTTATTATTGACCCCCTGTCCCCCACTAACAGCCTGGCATTCTAAACGGAATTGTATGATACAACGGGGTGGGGGTGGTTCTTTACAAATCAAGCTCTGTCGTAGCTGTTTCAGGTGGCATACAGGAAAATCTTGTATAAGACGATCGATCGTTACCTGTGTTTAGAAAAGCAACAGAAGGGTTTGCATACTCAAAGAGACAGACTTGGATGGTTACTGCGGGTGGTAGGGAAAAGTCAGGAAGGGGGAGGGTCAGGGAAGGGAGGGTAGACAGACAGGTGTTAAGTTGGTGAAGAAGCTACACTCCTGTTTTAACAAGGAGGCAGTGAGGGAAAGAGGGGAGGGGACAAACTATCAGGAGGTTTGATACGCTTTTTAAGTTGTTAAATACCGTGGTCTGATACGGAAACCTCAAGTTAACTCACAGTCAAAAGACTTTTCAACAAGGGCTTGCAGTTTGGCTGATTGCTGTCAGACGGACATTGAAAGCTAAAGGGTGCTTTGTTGTCTTTCCCTAGGTCTCCTCTGACCTTGGTAGCAGCACCCAGCCACCTGCCCTGAGGGCTTGTTCCTGCCAACCAGCCCTAGATGCCCTTAAGGCCCTGGAAAGAATGAGCTATTACGGCAGCAACTACCGGATTGTAAACGCAGACTCCAAATACCCCATCTACCCTCCGGAGCACGTGATCGCGGAGAAAAGGCGAGCCAGGAGGCGCCTTTTGCACAAGGACGGCAGCTGCAACGTGTACTTCAAGCACATTTTCGGGGAATGGGGGAGCTACGTGGTCGACATCTTCACCACCCTCGTGGACACCAAGTGGCGCCACATGTTCGTGATCTTTTCTCTCTCCTACATTCTCTCCTGGCTGATCTTCGGCACCATCTTTTGGCTCATCGCCTTTCACCACGGAGATCTCCGAAATGAGCCCGACATCACGCCCTGCGTGGACAATGTCCACTCCTTCACGGGGGCCTTTCTCTTCTCCCTGGAGACCCAGACCACCATAGGGTACGGCTACCGCTGCGTCACCGAGGAGTGCTCCGTGGCCGTGCTCACGGTGATCCTGCAGTCCATCCTAAGCTGCATCATAAACACCTTCATCATCGGGGCCGCCTTGGCGAAAATGGCCACGGCCCGCAAGCGAGCCCAGACCATCCGGTTTAGCTATTTCGCTCTCATCGGCATGCGGGATGGGAAGCTGTGCCTCATGTGGCGAGTGGGTGACTTCAGACCCAACCACGTGGTGGAAGGCACCGTGAGGGCCCAGCTCCTGCGCTATGCGGAAGACAGCGAAGGGCGGATGACCATGGCCTTCAAAGACCTAAAGCTCGTCAATGACCAGATCATCCTGGTCACGCCAGTCACCATTGTGCACGAAATTGACCACGAGAGCCCTCTCTATGCCCTGGACCGCAAAGCGGTGGCCAAAGACAACTTTGAGATTCTGGTAACGTTTATCTACACGGGCGATTCCACCGGGACATCCCACCAATCCAGAAGTTCCTACATCCCCCGGGAAATCCTCTGGGGCCACCGGTTCAACGACGTCTTGGAAGTGAAGAGGAAGTACTACAAGGTGAACTGCTTACAGTTCGAGGGGAGTGTGGAAGTCTATGCCCCCTTCTGCAGTGCCAAACAACTGGACTGGAAGGACCAGCAGTTGCACAGCGTGGCAAAGGCCCCTCCGGCCCGGGGGGCTGGTGTGGTCGACACCAAGGTCAGGCGAAGGTCATTCAGTGCTGTGGCCATTGTCAGCAGCTGTGAAAACCCTGAGGGGACCACCACCTCTACCTTGGAGGAGTGTAAGGAAGCGCCTTATCAGAAAGCCCTCTTAACTTTAAATAGGATCTCTGTAGAATCTCAAATGTAGTCTTCCCGTGATAAGACGAGGGCTGTCAACACCATCTTTGGATGGGCCAACCATCTGTTAAGATCACCTTGTAAAACATGATGTCACTATAATTAACGGTTAGGGGTGGGGGATAGGGGATTTGATAATGGTGGATAAGCCATCAACTTTAAAAAAAAAAAATCTCTTGGTAAGTGATGGTTCCTACTTTTTTATCCCGTAGGAAAAGCGTTCACTGGAATGCTATTAAGAAATCACGCTGATCACTTGCCATTTCATTTCCTTTAATCCGCCCTCCCCACGCCCCACCCCCACATGTATTTTTCCTCAGAAAAGCGCTTCTCAGAGGTGGGGAACAAAGACAGGATGCTGTAGTAAACACAAACGGGAAGACAGGAGGTCAGCATGAATGCCTTCTTAAATACAAGATAGTATGCTATCAAAATTGTTAGTGTTATGAGTGATTTCCTCTAAACAACATGATGTCATCTAACCAAGAGATGTGCGCAAGACATTGCATAGATTGTGCTGCTCGGCTATTTCGCTTCAGAACTCACTGGCTAGTGTGAGTCCCTGTGCTCAGTCCTTGGTAGCTGCATAGGTGGGGACCGTACAACAATTGACAATGCTGGCAATCGAGACAGTCCTGCTGGCATTTGCCCAGGCAATGATTGATCATGATTAGAAGTAGTTTTGTCTCTAACCCATGAGGCAGAAGAAAGGTCGACACCATTATTCACTGCAGAATTTCCTTCTCTGATGCCTGCTCAGCCCCAATGAATGGCTTTATAGAAAAGAGAAGAAATGAGGCACGCATGACGCCTCTCAGGTTCTGCAACAAAGTGACTTCCTGGGCCCGTCTCTGACCTTCATCAAGGACATGATAAGTGGGCAGGAACAGAGAGAGATGGGGTAAGGGACTGGACAGCAGTGACAAACACGGGAACCCTTGGAGAGAAGATGTCCCTGAGAGACTAGAGCCGGGGCTGGCTGCAGAAGGCAGGGACCCCGTTTGTCGTTCTTCTTTGCAGGGGCGGGGGGGAGGGGGGGATGTTTTTGCCAAGAAGCAATGATGCCTCCTGTCATACGAGGACTCTAGTAGTGGATGTTCAGAAACTTGTCCATTGAAGGTTGTTTTAATGAGTGACTTTTTGTGAGTTTGAGTGAAACTATTGTATGCAAATCAAGGAGAGTGCTTTAGAATTGCTTCAATTTTAGGACAGGGGATCAAATTTTGTTCTCTCTCTCTCTGTGTTAAATGATGTCAGTCATGATTTATTTAACCACCAATCCAGTTACCTTTGAGTGAAGAGTCTGTTTCAACCTCAAAAGAGTTATTAACTACATTCAGAAAGTCTGTGGGGTGGTTTACCATTGCTGCTGCATTGGTAGCCTCTAAGTATCACAGTTTTACTGATTTTATTTTACTATGTATACACATATTTTCGGCTTTTCTTTCTCTGTCTCTCTTCCCTTTCCTCTCTTTGTATTAGCCACAAATCAATTGAGCTGAATCATAGTTTAAGATTTCCAATAAAGGTTAACTATATACACGTATCAATAGTCCCAGTGGCACTGTGGGATGGGCATTGGGCTGCTGGCTGTAAATTCAGTGATTCAAACCCACTAGCAAGTCTGTGGGAGAGAAGTGAGGCTGTCTACTCCTATCAAGATTGACAGGGACCCAACAAAGAGACCCGATAAGCTGGAACCTACTTGATGGCTGTGGGCATGGCTGGGTTTATATACACATATAAAGTATTTCATTTTTCTCTTCTTCTTCCTTTGTGCATTTCTTTCTCTGTTCCAATACCCTCCCCTTTCTTTCCTTCTCTGCATCCTTTCTGACTTCCTTTTTCTGGCCTCTGATCAATTAAAATGACTTTAAAATGCACTGCCTTATGGTCCTGTTTTATGTCTAAGAGGCTTGTTCAGGTCACAGGTTGCAGAAATCTTGAAGCTTAATTGTCAGAGACCTAACAGGCGTCCTCCCCTCGCCCTCATCTTACTGCAGGAATGCAAAATCTGTTCTGGAAATTTCCCATGCACTGTAGATGGGGATTTTGTCACGGCAAATACTGAACCGTTGACTAAGTAGCAAACCCCACTACCCTGTAAAGGAGCCGTTTTAGAAAGAGAGCTGTTTTAGCTCATTTCTCAGACTTCAGGTTTCAGCTCACTTCACTTTGCTCCCTGGACTCTGGCTTCCCTCTAGGCGTGCCAGGTTAACATCAGCGTAGGGGCAGGAACATCCGTCCCATGAAAGACATTCAGCTCTCCTGTGCGTTTCCACAGGCAAATAAATCCTTGTCTCCCACATAGAATGGAAAGTCAGCCTTTAGATGTAATAGGTGTCTCCAAATTTCTCTTTGGATTTTTGGCACCCACGGATGCCCCGCTGAGTTACATTACAATAAATATCTTCAAGTTATGCAAAAAAAGCAGACATGTTTAACTATATTTCAGGTGGCATAAACTCCCCTTGCAGATTTGGGCAGAGTAGAATGAACTGTACCCACCGTGATAATGCCACTCTTGTAATTAGGACAGAAGCAGTATTGTAAACTGTTATTTATTTATTTAGGATCAACTCCTTGTTGAGCAGCTACCTGTGAAGGGACCTTCCGTTGTTTTTATAAGCATTCCTAGACGGCTTTGTGCAAAATGGCACGTCTACAGTTCGAATACTTTCTTAATGGTTGGTGCAAACAGTTGGCACTCATCTGCCCAAATTGAATGTTGGAAGCACCCATCCAGGGGTACCAGGAAAGAAAGCTGTGGTACACTGTTTCCATGTGACCACAAGACAACTGCCTGGAGCAGTTCTCCTTTACATGTGGCTCCATCTGAGTTGGGCTGGACTCCACGATGGGTTTGGATTTGCAGATGGATAGTGGTATGCTATTGTTTGACTGCTTTTTTGCATGGCCTCCACCTTCTCCCTTTACATGGAATTGCTTAGAGGTGTTAGCTGGTTGGAAAGCATCACTCCACCTTTCACTATCCTCTTGAAGTGAGTGGGAGTGGGGAGGGAGAGGAAATGCTGACTCTCATGTGCCATCAGTTCCTCACTCATTCTTATATGCTTTAAACAGGTTAACTTTTTTTTTTT